AGCTGCGGCTGTGGAAATAAGTTTTGTACCAATATTGCACAAAAGCATTGCAGAATCCCATACTAAAAAAGGAAGCAAGGGTTGTTCTAGTAACTTGGCTGAGGGTAGCTGTGGTTTTCAATACTTCTGAACATCAATAAAGCATTCATGGACTGTGGTTTAAAATGTATGAAATTGGCATTTCCGGTAAGAGCACTGGCGCTGATGTTCCACTGCTTGTATTTTCATGAGAAAATGGCTTGAAACATTCCACTCCTGTTCACTGCAACACTGGTGTAGGCTCTGCTTGCAATTTCAACCTGTAGGTTGCAGAGTTCACCCCTGCTTAGAGGACTGGGTTCAAGCAACAGCAAGGCAATAAATCAGATTCTTTCTTCACAGTAAACACGAAGTGAGGGTGTCCATGGTGAAAGAGAGGAAGCAAGGGAGCAGGAAGTCGTTACTTAAGAGATGCATCCTTTGTAATCTTGCAATAAGGAAGCTTAGTTCTCTAAACAAACGCAGGGTGTTTCTTACCTACATAGATGTTCCAGAATTCCTCCTACAGGTAGGTGTGGGAAAAGGGTAACAAAAGAAGACAGAAAGAGTTAGATGAAAATTACTGAATTCTTCAGAAAAATATTAGAGCTTTCACACAGAGGATACTTGCAGCTAACAATTGTTAACACAAATATTTAAGTTTCAGGCACATACAGTGCCTTGTGGGCTGTTATAACCATTTAATAAATCAAAACTATCTATAGTGCCCAGCTCTACAGAAACAAGTCTTGTGCATTTTTCAGAAATATCTAAAACTCTTTAGAGGTTTCCCAGTGTGTTTCACTCAGCATAAAGCACCTGATTTCCTGCATCTGTATCCTTCCACCAGTTTTGACTGAATGCACTTTAATTCCTGTAATGCCAACTTCTCAGTCTCCATTCTCTCCCCATACTCCCATCAATCAGGACCTCAGAAATCTTGAGATTTAAAAATATTTGTCTGATTTGTGTTCTTCTTTCCCTCTGCTCTGAGGACTCCAGGTATGCTGTCTGTCTGTCTACGACAGTCCTTTTCAGTGACATCTGGTCACCAGCAGAACAGGCTGTGCTGGTTCTGCTATAGATCAGTCAACTTTTATGCTCTGAAGTACCCTGGCGATGCATCTATGACTCCCCACCCAGGTCATCTCAGGGCCACTTCAAGAACATTCTGGCCATCAAGTAATGCTAAAATGAAATTAATCTGGCTTTAACTCCAGTCTCAGGGCTGGTCTTAACAGCCACATAGCTACAGCTACGTTCCCAATTCCACTCCACCACCATCACATAAAGTCACATCAAGTTTTCAGGTACTACCTTTTCTACTGACCCCAGTCCCTATAGCTGCCCCATCTCTTTAAAACTCACCCTTGCGTCTGGGAACAGATTGCATTTCTGTCTAAAGTTAACCAGCCATCAGGGCAGGGCAGGTGACGCAAGAGTCACATGTACAAACTTCATTCCACATGGGCAATTTAACATTAAGGTGTCCACAGTACACATTCTGTCAATTCAGATACTGGAATAGAGAGCCCCAAAATGACAAGCATTGCAAAACTGCTTAAGTTCATCAAAATTCTGCCATAAAGTTTCCATGTCAGCACTTGCCTTCTCAACTTGTCCGTGGACTCTTCACCTAAGAACTCCTGACCAGAGTCATGACACTCTGTTATACTGCACAGATAGGATGAATGTATTTCCAACACAGATAGTATCAAAGCATTTAGAAGTCAAACAGCTCAAATAGCAATTAAACAGATCAGAACAGGTAAAATAATGCAGGCTTTACCATGGGCTGGCCTTGCAGGAACTGAATTAAGACTGTTATAGCATGTTTATGCCTTAGCAATGCCAACCAGAGTCAAAACCACTATTTATTCTTTGTGATTGGGAGTAACTTGTGAGTTTTGATGCCTAGCTTGAATGACCTTAATACTGTTTTGTAAAGATGAAATATATAGACCTATGTCTTATATTAGTTAATCCTTACAGTTTTTTCCTGGTCTTCAAATGCTTCTCTTGCTTCTTCTTTAGAGCAGCGCTCCTCATTGCATTCTCTTTCAATATTCCCTTTCTTAAATTCCTCCCAGAAAGAGTTAGCACGTTTTGTTCTTTCCAAGAACTTGTCAGCATTTTCTTTATTGATGAATACTAGACAATAGAGAAAATGGTACAGGTGGCAGGTAACATTTGGTAGTGGTAAAGAGTCATTAGAATTGACTGAAGTAGAAACAAACCCAAAACAGACCCTTTCACCACTCTACCAGTACTCAACATTACCTGTGAGGTTAGTCCTTACACAGACTGATACATCTCTGGATCTCAGAGCAGTCTCTCTCTGAGAATAAGCAACAGGACAACCTGTAGGCCCCCAAAATTATCTCCTACTGGTTTAAGTCTTGAAAAATAAGAACATGCAGGTTGACGCTAAGGGCTTATATTTCTGTCATTCCTGCATCCTGCTCAAGACTCCAGTCTTGAACAAAATTACCTTCCCTAAAAGTCAGGGAGTCTGCATTCCTTGATTTGGTTTTAAAGCTGACCAGCAGGCAAGACCACCACCTGCTCCAGGGGCTTGTCATGCAGAAACTAAATGCTACATAAACTCAAGATGCAGTAATGTACCTACCGACAGATGGGAAAAGCCTGTGTATGAGTTCTACTGCCCTTCACCACCCCAAGACCCACTGTGCTGTCCTGGGACCTTTCTTTCCTCTTGACACCTCCCTGTCACCCATATAAATGTTCCTGCATTAGTGCTAGGAATGCAGGTAGAGCTAAGGCAGCTGACTTCAAAGACCGAACAAAGAGCAAAAGTAAACGAACATCAGCTTTAGCAGGAAAATACAGCCTGAGGTCAGTTAGCTGGGTTGGTTTATTTATTAAAAACTTGGTGCCACAGAAGCCTAAGACCTGCTGCCTTCAAGTTCAAGATGCAGACAGCTGTTGGTTCAAACCAAAGGATTAGTGGCATTAAACTCAGCTCAGACACTTGGCTGCATGAATAATAGTGTTACATGTGCATGCTTCACCAGACAGGATAAACAGAAACAATGCTGGAGTAAATAAACTGCCAATTACCCTGTAAAAAGCATATATTGTATGAAAGTTTGCAGTTTGGAAGCTGGCATTTAATTATGCTCAAAACACCTGGAATTTAAGGAGAAAACATACTTTCTAATCACAGACTGGAGTGTCGAAGACAGTGATGGAACTTCAAGGCCAGTGGCTTATCCTCACTGGACAGCTCGCACATCCCTTCTGGACCATTCTCCATGCAGCTCAGTTCAGCAATAAACTTGCTGGTAGTAATCATACACCCTAATATTCTCTAAGTAAACACAGAGGGGACTTACCCTGCTTTCACTGAAATTGGTGGATCAGCCACAGGGAGCCAAATTCTGCTAGTGCTATTTATATTAAGCCCATGTATAATTTGAAGCCGCACTTATTCTGAAAAGGCTCCTCACATGGAAGGCTTACAGAAAGGGCTTGTAACTTGTAGCACAGTAACTGTTAAGTTCATTCACCCACTATCCTATTTGCCTTTAAACCCCTCTCTGCAGTGACAGGAAAGTGACAGGACGCAGCCGGTGGGGTTATCGCCTCTATATTCCTTTGCCTCCACACCACCCATGTAAGCGGATGTTTTTGTAAACTTGAACTAGCCCATTAGTCTTCTGAGGCTGGCCGTTCTCTTTCCCAAGCTTTCTGTCCTGCTTCCTTCTTTGGAGTCATCAAGGAGCAACAGGCGTTGGTCAACTGAAGTAGGACATTCCAGAAACATGTGGAAGACCTCATTTATAAAGCCTCAGCAGACTGACTCACTGAAGGAGGAGTAAACAACTTTTGAAAAGCCACTTACTGATGCTACTCTGGACTTCGGTGTTGACCGTATGGGCACAGAGGGTCGTGGGATGTGCTCCCCAGCTCCAAGCAAGCATTGCCCAGGCTCCCCCTCACAGACAGGGGCACCTCAGGCTGCGAGGGCAGCTGCCCTCACACAGAATCACAGAATCAGCTCAGTTGGAAAAGACCTTTAAAATCACCAAGCCCAACTGTTCCCCCAGCACTGCCAAGTCCACCACTAAACCATGTCACTGAGGGCCTCATCTACACAGTTTTTGAACACTTCCAGGGACGGTGATTCCATCACTTCCCTGGCCAGCCTGTTCCAGTGCCTGAGCACCCTCTCTGTGAAGACATTTTTCCTAATATCCAGTCTAAACCTCCCCTGGTGGAGCTTGCGGCCATTACCTCTTGTTCTGTCACTTGTTATTTGGGAGAAGATAAAAGCCACCTCCTGGCTCCATCCTCCCTTCAGGTAGTTGCAGAGAGTGATAAAGTTCCCCCTGAGCCTTCTCTTCTCCAGGTCCCTCAGCCATTCCTCACAGGACTTGTGCTCCAGACCCTTCATCAGCTTTGTTGCCCTTCTGTGGACCCGCTCCAGCACCTCAATGTCTCTCTCGTAGTGAGGGGCCCACAACTGAGCACAGGATTCAAGGTGCAGCCTCACCAGTGCCCAGTACAGGGGAATGATCACTGCCCTGGTCCTGCTAAACATATTACTGGTGATACAGTGCAGTGTGAACGGTGCGGAGTGCCAGCAACCCCGTATTATAGGGGAGCACGGGGAAGGTGCAGCAGCCTGAGACGGGACACAGCACCCCAAGGTGCTCCTGGCAGCTCTCTGCCCGCGTTTTTTTCGGGCTGCGGAGGGCAGTGCAGGTGCAAATAAGCCCTGAGCCGTTTTGGAAACCGAGCTCCCCGCGGTGAACAGGAGCCGGCTCGTCGGGGACGGGCG